CAAATAATAATTGCTATTCAATATTCAGGCCTGAATGAACATATTCAGTTAACATTGATATAGTAGTAGTATTATAGTAATATTAAATACCTATAACTTGAGCTCTATACCAATTATCATCCAAGCCATACTTAGCAGCACAAATCATATTGAGCTGGGGACAGTATATCTGCCAGACATCACCTCTTTCTGTCTTAAATGTATCACGCATCTCTCGCATCAAACTGCTCAGGTAAGGTAATTCGCCTCCAAGCTGCAATAAATACACATATCCTGAATACAAATACTCACCTACCAATGCACTATACTGATGACCAGATTGTGGAATGAAGGAGTAGTCAATGTGGTGCTGGGTGTGTATGTTTTGTTAACGTACAATTACAGCACCTGCTATGTGACGTCTATCTTCCTTTAAATAAACCATCAATTAAAACAGCATGACAAAATATTTTTGGATTCCTAATTTCTGCTCATATACCTTCGAAACAATTGTTCAATTGTCATGTTTTTTTTGGTTTCAGTAGAAATATAATTCCCTTGTTTAAACAAGCAGAACTTGTTCACTCTCTTATAAAGCGTATATCCAATAGAAGCAAACATATATGTTCCCAGATCAAAATTGAAAATGAAGAACATTTCTTCATGGAATGTCTTAGGTACCAAACAGAAAGACAAAAGCTATTAAATAATATCAGTATTCCAGAAGAATTGAAAAGTGATAACCAGATATTTAAATATATTATGAGTTCAAGAGAAGACGTACTAATAAGACAAGTTGGTGAATACTTATACAAAATATTTGAAATCAGAAATAACAATAACTGACATTTTACTTTTACTTTAGTTTTATATGTATTGCACTTTATTACTAACATTTTATTGCTGTTCAACCAATGGAAATTATTTCTAAGGATGCAATAAATTATTATTATTATTATTATTATTATTATTATAATTCAATTAAAATATGTCTTTAAACCATACACATCTGACCACTATAGTCTTCCAGGGTAAAAGTTTTATACATCTTTTACAATTTGTTTTGATTAATATTATAATAATAGTTAATTACACAACTAATCTGCTGTGGATACAGTAAGGTAAAAATAGTGTAAAATAAAGCAACTACAAATAATATTCATACCTTCATGCTACAGAATACAATTCCTGACAATTTAAAATTTTTATAATGTACTCTCTGAAAATTGATTAGCTTTATGTAAACTCCAGATGGGCAGTCTTACCTTCTGGATACACAGATCTGAAGGATTAGTTATATGAGAAACAACGATATCTACATAATCTCCTTTCTTTGGTAAGCATGGTAGCACAAATTTACGTGGTGGAGTTACCATGGGAACTGAAAGGAAAATAGACAAATGTTGATTACATTCCATCCAATCTATACAAAACACAATGACATGCATTTGGTTATGTCAGTCAGTCCATTCCCTCAAAATACTACAGAAACTTGAATGTACTGGATCACAATATCAGAAGGTCCACATGAACCTATAGGCTATGAGGTAATGTCTTCATATGAATAAAAAATTCAATGAAATTGGCTCGATGCGTCAATCCACTCACAACAAAAAACAATCACATTTTAGATTATCACATTTGCTCTGTTAGCATGCGCTTCTGTAAAAGACATGTCTACCCTCATGAAAATGTGAGCCATTCGTGCCCAGCTGACTGCTGACGAGGAACAACTCCTGAGCCACCCAGAGCAGCAGCTGACCAGCAATGTACAATTTTATTTCTAGCACTGGTAGCCGCTCCTTTTCTAGCATCGGTAGCCGCTCCCTCTCTAGCACTAGTATCCAATCCGTTCAGAATGTTGCTGCCCTTTTTTGCCCAAAATTGTATTACACAAGTGCCCACCCACAGAATGCTTTTAAAATCAATACAATGCATTTGTTGGTTTATACATCCCTTTCTAATGGAGACTCACTTCTTATGGAGCAAATATGGTATGGTATACAATATATATGAAGCAAATTGTACATTTCACATTGTAGTTTTCACCAAAACTTACCACCAGGCAATGGTCTGGACGCAGGAGTTTCAAACTGGGCCAATTCCAGGAATACCAAAGCATCTCGTACAGACACAGGTGTGTCATTGTCTATATCATCACTTGGCGGCTTCTGTAAATCTATGTATAATACACCTCCAGAATGATCCAAAACCTTGCAATAGTAAAAAAAAAAAAAATTATATATTGCATCATGTAGTCAAGTCCGTACTTGCCCGAGCTAGTGCCCATGCCCGGTCAAGGGCCCACCCCTCATTTTTATATTCAAGGTCACATTCTGCAAAGTTCCAACCACTTCAAAATGCCATTAATTTAAAACTTGGTTTTTGATCATTGCTTAATGAATACTGGTAATCGTTTTCATATGATACAGCGTGGATATCAACCGCCATGAATATGTTGTCAATTAATGCATAGACCACGGTAACTGTGCGTAAACTACGCTTTGACAATGACCTGTTAATAAAAGTAAAATGTGGTAAATATTTCATGCCATATTCAGTTTACCTATGAAAAATTGCTAGTTACATTTTATTTTGAAAAAATCATGTAGTTTATTTGGCGAAATCAATTCCAACAGATTGTACCTAGACAGCGATAATTCACTTCCGCATTGCGTTACCAGAAAGTCTCCAGAAATTTCCAAAGAATTGCGTCGGTATAACACAACATTCTGATTGGTTAATAACAGACTTGACCCATTAGGTCAAAGGACTTTGTTGCAGATCAAATTGTGGTCAAAACAACATGAAAGTGCTTTTCATCTAGAGTTTGCATATGACCCAACACATTCGTCAGTTCCAACAGACTCCAATATTTTTAATCTCGTAAATTTGGGTGGTACGTAATTAATACAATAAAATATGCATACTTTTTGTGATCATTTCTGTTTCTTCATTGTGAAAGTCAATGACGCCGCAATTAATTTCGTGAATTTATTTTCCCCTCAAAGAGTTAATATTCCCTTCAATCTGTCACATGGTGAATTAATGTTGTCATTTGCACTTTTTTCTGAGGGGGATACTCAATTAATTCAGAAATCTCATGCGTTTTAAGTTCCAAATAAACGTAAATGTACATTTATTTTTTTTTTCACGAAAAATTCCACCTGGCATGTTCTTACTTGCATTATTTTTTGGACGCTATTATAATCACAACACAATTGCAGCACTTTGAAAAGGCATTTTAGAAACAAGGGTACAATTTACCGTTCATTTGGAAATTTTCCAGGGGGGGGGGCAATATTTATTCCGGGGGTTTATTTGGAACTTGTCAATGAGTAATTGTATAGCTGATTTGTTAAACTTGTTCACTTCAAAATGTTGCTCTAAGCCAATCAAAATGTTTGATATTTCCAATACTTACAGTCATGAGAACAGGTTTCTTGCCCACCATAGAAGCAAACGCATGAATGGCACCAACTGGCCACTTTTCAGTCTGCAAAAAAACAAAACAATCAGAATATTTTGATAAATGTAGGTTTTTGATTATTTATACATGCACGTGCAACACGCGACCTTTTTGCTGTCAAAATCTAAGCATATATACATGTACCATACTTCCCCAGTCATAAGCCCCTCCCTTGCATGTATTTATAGACATTTAATAAGTTGAAGCCTCCTTGAGTATAG